GTCCCTTACCCCGTCGCAGTCCGAGACGTCGTAGTAGTATTATCCTCTCCACATTGGCCGTCGACAATGCACTATTGGGTACCATAGATAGATATCCTTGTTGGGTTCACTAGCCGCACCGTAAATTCAACGCACAAACATAGAACTTGGAAATGAGTATTCCTGAGGCTTCAAATTCTAACAGGGCATTGCTTAAACAGCGTAATCCGAAACATACAGTCTTTTGATACCAGTGTCACATTACCTCGCATTTTTATGTCCCAGACCCCCAAGGGTTTCCATGCCAAGACGTTTCCCTCCGTGACGGACCGTCATACCAGACATGAATCCCTTCTCATAATTATAAAAGACACCGATGTGTTGTACTCGTCTGTCACCAAGATGACGAGAATATCCCAGAGAAAGATGAAGAAAAACTGCGCCCCACCAGCCAAAGACTGAACGATAGAGAGAAAAAGAAAAAGGAAAAAAAGGGGGGAAAAAGTGACGCCCCCCAGGAGCAATGAATATGGAAGGAAAAAAATGGGGGTATCGTAACAGAAGAGATGGGGGGGGGGGGGGGGGTTAGGGAGGAAGGGGTGTTGTTTTCGTCTTTATATTTGGTATTGTTCGTGTCGAGTTTGCATCTCACAGGATGTCGTGCTTGTGGAAAAGACGTGCCAGCGTCTCGGTGCCAAATATCTCGTCGTCAGGGATCATTTCGATAATGCCGGTCAGGTTGGCAATCATGTCACCCTGGTTGCGGTATGCCAGGATTGCAGGCACAGCAGCGTTATCAAACTCGATATCGAGGTAGTGGACCTTGACGAAGTGTACTGTTGAGTGCTGCGATACGAGTGGCAGCATGGCGTGTTCTATCGTCGCAGATACATCGCACTGCAAGTCTACGGTTAGCACTTGTTTCTCCACGGGTTATTGACGCGGCGGCTGGGAGCTTACATCTGGGTCATAGACAAAAACAACGACAACAGTGTCCCGGGCAACCTTCTCGATGGCGTCAAGGTAGCCCAAAGCGTCCACAACGTCCATACGTCCGTAGACTCGCACACTAGGACTTGTTCTTCGGTTCCTAATGACTTTGCTGGACTCGCTCTCAAGCTCTCTTCGGCGGCTTTCGCGCCATTGTTGCATGAAGCTGTCGTCTGAGTCGCTGCCATTGCCCTCGTCCGTCTCGCTCCCGCTCTTGTGTGACGAGTGGGACTGAGTGTTGAGGCCGTCCAAGCCGAAAATGGAACGGCGCACTGTCGTGCGGGCGCGGCTCATGAAGGATGTCTTGCGGGCATTCTCGTAGTTCCGAGCATCGGCGATGACGCCCTTGACACCAGTGGTACGGCCGGCATCGAAGCTAGCCGGAGGCAGCTTCAGGTCGGAGCCGGTATGGCCCAGAGACGGCATGCGCATGGCGGCGTCGATTTGGGAGTTGCGATGGACCTCGTCTTCGTCGAGATCGAAGGATCGTTGGTCGCGGCGGTGGTAGTCACGATCCTCGGGGTGTACTCTGCTCTCTTCACGAGTGTTTGCTGCTAGAAGCGCGTTGAATTCTTCCTGGGCTGGGGTGGGGTTCGACATGGTGAGAGTTGGGAGGGCGCAGCGGTGGGAGGGAGCTTGGTTTTATGTATGTGACAACGGACGGACGGACAGTCGTTCGTATGGTCAGAGGGAGGGGCGGTAGGGGTGTTGTTAAGGAGTAAACAAGCAGGTTGTGAAGTGCCAATGGTGCGGGCTTGGAGGTGGAAGGGTAAGGGTGTGCCCGGTTGTTCTGGCAGGGCGTCCAAAAGTAGGTAATCAGGAGAGGCAGGTCCGGGTGACGGTGGTCAGGTTTTTGCAGAGGGAGAGAGGGAGGTTTGGAGATGAAGGTTGGTGGTGGGAGGGCAGGATGGATGGCGGCGCTTCGATGGGATTTCTCGAAGCAGTGGAGACATGAGCAGGGATCAGCCCCTGCCTCGGGGAAGATGTGGTAAAAGCGTGGTCCAGCACGGAGTAGGTCAGATAGATTGGCGCGAGCGAAGCCCTAGGGGCCCGAGGGTCGAGGATGGAGGGGAGGGTGCCTACATAGTAGAGGGCGAAGCCCCTGGGGATGCGTCAGACTGTTTCAAAAGCAGTGGAGGAGGAGGTGCTGCGTGGTCGCGAACAGGCACAGGGGAAGGACGAACGGCGACGACGACGTGGAGGAAAGTGGGCGGGCGAGTGTATTGTACGATGATGACTGGCAGAGAGAGGGGAAAAAAGTGGTGATGGGTAAGATCTGAGTTTGATTGCGAAAATGGAAGCATATAGTCAGGCATGTTAAGACGAGGGTTGTCCGGGGTGGGGGGTTGCCGATGGTTGGTAGCGGGCGCACCGGATTGGCTGATGCGACGCGCGCAACGGAGAGACCGGACGCTTTGCTTGTGCCAGCCTGACGCTGTTGTTTGTGCTTGTCTTGCTTGCTCTGGACCAACTCACTACCTAACTAGGTAATCAATCGTCTCGCCGACCGCCCAACTCGGAATGGATTGGATGGACGGTGGACACATCAAGGCGCGAGCGTCAAAATGGATATGTAGGTACACACTGTCGGCGGCAGTACGCTGCCTGCCTGCCTACCTACCTACCTACCTACCTAACCTCAAGGTACCTAGGTACCTAGATGAAGAACACATTCAGGCCTGCCACGATGTGTGTCGTCACATCGTCACGCATGAGGAAACCTGCCGACGACGATGATCACGAGGGGTGGAACTGTGGGAACGGAAAAAGGAACCAAAAGGGAGAACCGGGGGGTCCACCATGTCTGTGTCGGAACAGGGAAGGAGCGGACGGACGGACGGCCATGGCCGGTGATTTCCTTGTAACTTTGACTTGTTTCCCCTCCGCTCCCCAGTGATGGACAGGACAGAACGTGGGCAAATTGATTACCTACCTTCCTTCCTACCTACCTATTCCAAACTGTCTGGTGTTACCGCGGTATATATCTATCGTCATCATTTTGCTTCTTCCTCCTACCCCGTGGTCGGCCTGCCCCGTGAAACCTCATGCTCCGCAGCAGAGCTTTCTTTTCCATGGCAACACAGTGTAGGCAGGTACACTAAAGCAGCAGAATCCGAGGTGAAGAACAGATCCAGATGGCACGCGCGTCGTATACCTTAGTATAGGTAGGTATATCCGTACCGTCGGAGGATATGCCCACATGGTGCACTGCCACGATATGATGTGCACACCCTCTCGGGTTCTTCTGCTCGCGTGGCCGGGCTGGGATCGTGATGCTTGTCGAGTGTTACATAGTAGGCATCTGGTTGTTGCTTGCTGATCAGGGGCCGTTGGACCCGTTAGTGCCAGGTTTCCCTGCTTGCTTGCCTTTATGCTGACTCTTCCTTCTCCCTCCCGCGTTCCGTTGCTGCTCGCTTTAGCCTATTTAGCCTAATCAATGCGAGCAAATACACTACAGGGGGAGCAGCTCGGGAGCTTGCGGGCGGGATGCATGCTGCAGGTCGACAAGATGGCGAAACCCATCCTTGCTTCTTCACGCTGACGATATGATAGCTAGGCATGCTGCCTACCTAGTCCGGTGCTGCAGGTGTCCCTCGGACTCGGACACTGCGATGCAAGCCAAGGATCGCCTCTCCTCGTGCTTGTCTATTCTACAGTCCTATCATCGTATACCGATCTACTGTAGGAAAAAACATATCGTTTATCTCTCTCTCTCTCTCTCTCACACACACACACACACACACATACACTTATCCGCTCTCTCCCCCCTAAAGGAGGTATCGTCAGTTATATGTGGGTGGCTAAAGAACCTTGCCAAGTCAAACTCGGCCACAGCGTCTTCTCCTCTTTCTCTGGGCACTCGGAGCAGTGCAATATTCCACAACGCTCATGCTTACCTTTCTCGGCCTCCTATTTCAGGTCATTGGACCCAGTCTGGCTAGGACAACTCGTCGCCTTACCAGGCCAGTGTGGGGGGGACCCTGCATCCCCGAAAGGGACATGTTGAGTAACCACAAATAGAGACGTTATCTCTACTTGAGTGCATATAATTGACCAGACTACGTGCCTACCTACCTAGGTAGGCACCTAATCCGAGGTGCAATGCCTGTATCTTGGCATACGTGTGTATTAATCATATAGTTACGTATGTAGATACTCAGCCATATGACTAGCGAAATGCCCTCAAATCAGAGACGCGTTGGCTTGCTTTCGCCTTGCAGACCTCCAACGCCAATTCAAACAACTGCAATGGATAGCCTCTCCCACCGGTACGCGGCCGGCCTTATTACTCCCCTTCCTGCAGTCAATGCAGGGAGCTGCTGCTGGAAGTCGAGACGTTGACAGTTCTGAATTAAACTTAGATGCAGTCACACAGCACAAGACCCTGGACCTCGAGCCCGAAAATCAACCGTATTCCCAACTCTAACGTACTGTACTACCGACATCCGTGTTGTGCATATTGCTAATGGAACTTCCCACAGTATACACGTGAGCCTGGTCTAGTTGAGGACCCGACACCGGCGCCGTGCTTCCGACTATCCATGCCGTAGAGACTTGTGGCAAACCTGTATCGGTATCATCTTCCGGTGGTGGCAACACCATGCACGGCCGATTTGAGCCGGGATGGACACTTGCAGCAATGGGAAGATGCCTCCAGCCCCGATGCTGTATCTCGATAGCACCATGGCATGGCACGCTGGCATCATCGACCTTCCGACATCCCCGTTCGCCGAACATCATCGATACATCAAAACATACGACAGTGGCTTCACCATCAGACCCGAACATATCCGACTATGACGTGCTCCCATTTTCAAAGCCGGCTCCCATCAATCGTCCGAAAGCCGTCGTCTGTCGGACCTTGCCATCTCTGGGCACTTGGTCCCCGCGTCGTGCGACAGACAGCCCGCTCGTTGGTTCTATGCCAATGCGGACGGACCCGGAACGTGGAGAAGGGTGGGTGTCATTGGCCCGTTACACAATCTTGGGCATCGATACCACGAGGCGACTTTGGATTGCCCACGTCATGTTTTCGAAGCCAATTCTACCGTCATTTCTGGATGCGTCGACGGCTTCGACCGTGGTTCAAAGCGTTCCATCATGGTTTCAACGAAGCTATCGTCTGAGGGCAGTCCGCGACTCTCCTTCACGCGTCAAAACTTCATAGTTCTAAAAATACCGGCGAAAACAACCAGCACGAAGATCAATCGATTGGGCGCTGATCGCGGGTGTCAACATTCTAACATTGTCGGATGTATCGACCAGATTAATGCATGTGTCCTATAGCATCGGACTATGTTTCATGGTTTTGTTTCACCGCAATAGACTCACATGAAGACAGAGAAACGAACTTAGCACTGGCGAGCAAGGGGCACACTTCTCATGCCATGGGGAATCCTTGGCTCGGTTGCTGTTTATTGGATGCTGCACATGAGCAAACTTTGCCGATTCCAACCACTACTGCCCCCTTAGGAATCGCCATCCAGGCCATGCCGTCTGCCACAATGACTCACTCACTCAACCACGTGAGCGACTCGTCCAAAATACGAGTAAACGGCACAGCTCCTCACGCCTTCCTTGTGTCCTTCGTCTCATCTACCAAACTATGTCGGGGCAAGCTGGGACGATGCATTTCGGCACGATGCCGGCATTGCGCCGGCAGTAGTTGCCAGCCATTCAACCGTAATATCTCCAGGTGGCGTGTTGCCCGAAGATCCTACTGTCCCAATATTGATGGGAAAACACGACGTTGGAAACAATTTTTGGTTTTCATTTTCTTGTTCGGCCCGTGTACACATGTTGCATGGACCAGACTTCACCGGCGCACCGGAAACTCCTCTTGGGCGTCTCTCCCAACGACCACCATGCAGCATCCACCTCACGAAAGCAGATTGAAGATCCGTCACACTGACGAAATCGTGATGCGAGCGTTGGGAATGGCAAAAAGCTCTCCCAACTCACGCCGCCAACCGCATAAGATTTCCACTCTCACCAACTCTCCCTCCAAACACCTCATCCAGTAGCTCCAAGCCACGCGCCAAAGCTGGCCCGACTAGTCTGCAACACCTGGACCCGGATCTTCCGATCCGTTGTCTTTCCCACTATGCGGCCCTTCCGGGCTGCTCCCAACGCTTGGGCAAGTGCTGGGCCGGGCGACACCACTGCCTGAAAACCCATCACAGGCTTTCGAGAACTCTAGGATTATTAGGGCGACGCCACCTACAAGACCGTTGGCCGCATCGGCCTGTACGTCCGTGGGCCGATGACAGTTCGCACAACCGCCTTTCTACGCAAATTTGGGGGGGCCGTGTCTTCGGAGCCATCATCCCGCATGATTCTTCAAAAGAGCCGGAGGAGTCGATCGCGGTTACAGCGACCGAGGCTCCGACAGAAAAAGGATTACGAAACAGTGGTGGAGCAGGGTACCACCACGGTCTTTTTTTTTTTTTTTCCTTTTCTGTCTTTCTCTCCGGCTTTTCTCGCGTGGCATCCGAGAACAGGGCGCGGAACAGATGAACCCACCCCGCAAGTCCATGGCCCGTCCGCCATACATCTTCAGCCTGAAAAAGCCACTATCCACGAGGATTTCCTTTCTCCACTGTTGTCCTGCACCTTACTTTCTCGCCCCTTCCCGGGGCTGGAGCTGCTTCCTGCTCACCGCCGCCCCACGTCGGTCCGGGGCTCATACGAGAATCTGGCCATGACAGCACCAGCGGCACCGGTCTATGAGACTCGAGCCGCAGTGTCCATTGACGCAGATGTTCCATCCGGATAACGTCTCCCGGCTCGTTCGCCCCCTTCCCCTCCAAGGTTCAAGAGGGAAGGACGCGGGTGTGCCTCCTTTCCGCTTCCCAATACCATTCCCCGGGTCCTGCCTTCCTCGTCTCCTTCAAAATCCTATTTTCCCAGAGCAGACGGCGATTATGTAGAGAACTCGGTCTTCTTCCTCACAAGCGTACCCCCTTCCCTTCGGAGGGTCCAACAAGTCCTCAAGTCAGAAGCCAGTCAGCCTCGGGTGGGAGAGTCGCACGTCGAGTGTCGCGGCTCCGGAGTCGTTTGGCGTGATCATCGTGCAGTTGCGCTCTCTGCCCTCTACCAGTTTTTGTCTGCCCATGAGTATCCCGGCTTGTCCTTTTGGCTGCGCCCTCCCAGTACCACCGGGACGTCACATGATAGGCGACTCCCTTTGAGACAAGGTCGCATGTCCTCCTGTTTCCGGCCTCCGTACGTTCGACCGATCGGTACTCTAGTTGCGGCTGTTGATCAGTGCCGGCACCCTGTGACCCTGTGCACTCAGGGCCCAGACTGGCCGGCCGCTGGCTTGATATTATATTGACTTCACTTGGTCTCAAGGGTTGGTGCGGTTTGAACAGAGGTTGAACGAGCATTGAGCGCGAACTATAGTACAGGCAACAAGTAGGTATAAGAGGGAAGGAAGGCTTGAGGCGGCGTTCACGCAAAGGGGGACAAAAGCAAAAAAGCAAAAATAAAAACCAACATCTTCAACAACTCCGTCAACTATTCCACGCATGCCCTTCGTTCCTTCAACGGCCTTGGGTCGTCATCTCCCCTATTTTCCGTGCAACCCACCACAGTTCCATCATCCGAGAGCAATATGATACCTCCCCGCCTCCTACGAAACGAAGGTATCCATATGCTTTGCCGTGCATTACCGACTCCATTCCACCTGGATATGAAAATGACAATCCGCCGCCAAAACAAACCAAACCCCGCCTTCTCCAGTAGCCTGTCCCCCTCCCCCCCCTCTCTACGAGGCAAAACAGGGTTCGCACCCACTCTACTTGGGCTTCATGTCGCCTTGTCAACGTGGGCGGAATATGCGGCGCTTTCGCCTACCAGAACCAGCACCCCGACGGCTGAGTTGAGAACATAAAGAGATGCGGAATCGAACGGAGCGGCGCACTGTTTTTCTTTTCTTCCTTTTGTTACGAACGAAAATGGCGACGAGGGAATTGTCGAACGACGGGGGGAAATCGTTTCGATGGTATATGAAACAAACTCCTACTGCAAATTGCAGCCCTTCCCTTCTTCGGGCCCTTCGTGTGAGGTAGTGTCGATGTCGGAATCGTGGTAGCTTGTCTATACGTGTAGGGTTGGATTTCGGTGGGGTATCAAAATGGCTCGATTCTGTTCCCTCCTTGGCGGTCATGGCCGTGTCCGGGTCCTGTAGCAGACGTTGTGGGAGATGTGAAGCAAGCATGACTCGAGAAAGGCCACATTTGGGTAAACCATCAATGTGTAACAAACCACCCGATCTAATCGTCGGGCGCCGGAACGAGTCCCAGAAAAAACTATGGTGCGAAAGAATCGCGGACGATGAGGAGGATGATTGACATAAGAGAAAAGAGACCCTGTATAGTTCCCATAGCCGCCCCATGCTGGTAAAAGGGCGGCTCCAGCTGGATTGGTAGACGATAAAAAAAAGTGAGTTTTGGTATGAGCAGGTGTGTCGTGACTTCGTCCTGAATGCGCCAGTACTCGCGGATTAGAAAAGGGCAACATCTCAGGGTTTCGAAAATTAAGTTGGCCAAATAACCACTCGACAGAAGATTAAAATGGTTTCGCGTGTACTGGAACCGATATATCCAGACAGGACCTCATCATCGTTATTGGGTTGGCGTTTTAGTATGCCCAGATTTTCAGCTGTGATAGTCAAGTCAGTAAGGCACGGGAGGGGAGAGATCAAGATAAACAACGTACGAGTGAGTCCCATGAACCTGTGCACAAGCTGATGCCATCGTTGCTAACGCCCAGGCAGCTGACTCTGTTCTCGTGTCCGACAAGCGAGCCAACCTTCTCTCCACGCGTCACGTCCCAGACCTAGCAAAGAAATTAATCATCAGGCCACGGCCCACAGCTAAACCGGAAATTGAGAGCATACCTTGCATTCAAAGTCGTCATAGCCGGCGAACAGTAACCTCCCGGACACCGAGGTAGCCACCGAAGTAATACCGCAAAGGATAGATTCCGACTGGGATCCAACAGTTAGCAATGTTGAACCTTGTGTAGGGGTGTCGATGCAATCCCAACTTACGCCGTAGAGATTCAATTCGCGATCAGCACGAATGTCGAAGAGGCGACAGGTTGCATCATCGGAGCCCGTAACGAAGGAGTGGCCGTCAGGGAAGAATTGGATGGCATTGATGTCAGACTCATGGCCAGCAAACGTCTGGACAGCCTTGCCGGCTCGAATGTCCCACAACTTGGCGAAGGCGTCGCAGGCACCGGAAATAAACGTGTTGGAGTTGGTCGGGTTGAGGCTGATGCTCATTACGTCGCCCAGGTGGTCGGCGAATTCGGTCACCTTTTGGCCCGTCTCGATGTCCCACTTCATACAAGTCATGTCACCCGAGGACGTGAGGATACTCCGGTCGTTGATGAAGCGACAGCACGACAGGTAGCCGGCATGGCCAGAAAGCTCCCTCGCGACACGGGTCGGGCCTTCCCTCTGCTGGTTGAGGTTATAAATGGAGCAAATGTTGTCGAGACCACCGCAAGCGACGTAGTTGCCACTGGGGGCGTAGGCGCAGGTCATGACCCATGACGAACGTAGGGGAATCGCGTGGACCTTGTTCGTCGTGTAGGCATCCCAAATGATGAGTTTTCCATCTTGCGAGGCGGAGACTAGATGTCTTCTGTCGGTTGACCAATGCATGGCGTAGATTTTGGCCAGATGTCCCTTCAGAGTGCGCTTAGCCTTCATCAGCTGGTTCTTAGGGATCGGCTCGTGTGCCTGCTGAGCGACGGTGCGGACTGTAGACGATGATGGATGGTCAGCATGGCTACTTGGAGGGAGTAGTTGAGACGGCGGCAATGTCGAAGGGATGGAGGTCGATGATGGTAGGACTCACGAGTAGTGTCGGCGAGCTCATCCTTCTTCCGCTTGATCCTGTCCTTGAGTGTCTCAGCCTCGCGTCGCGCCTGTTGAATGCGCGCCTGCATCGCCTCGGGCGACACATCATTAGGGGCTTGGGAGTTCATCGTCGTGGACTTATGGCCTCGATCAATGGGGTGGCGGAGAGAGAGGGGTGGCTGCTGATGTCGAGACGACGAATGGTGATGGCGGTTGGTGGTAGGCGAGGAGGTCGGATCGGGAGGAGGAGGTGGTGGTGGTGGTCGTCAGTCGTTGGATGAGGGTTAAGGGTTGGAATTGAAATTGAGCGGGAGCCGGTGGAGAGGGAGGAAAGAGAGGTGTGCGTGCGTGTGGTGGTTGTCCAGTTCCAGTTGGAAGGGGAATGCAAGCTCCAGGGGGGTTACTCTCCGGGGACCAGTAAAACAGCAGGGTTGAAGGGAAATGATGGTCGGCCGGAGGGGGGGGGTCGAATTAGTAGAGAGAGTGCAGGTACCTGCCAATGCTGCAGTTCGAAGTACCTGTTGGATGGGAAGGTCCTTATGCAGAAAATCCCAGTAGTCGGGAGGACAGCGCAGGGCAAGAGAGAGAAGCAGTAACAGGAACAACAGGAGAAATAGGGGAGGTGAGGAAGAGGGAGCGAGGGAGAGAGAGAGAGAGAGAGAGAGAGAAAGATGGGCGGATGGCAAGTAAAGGTATGAGTTCGTCCGGGAATGGTGGTAGTAGTTGTGGTGGAGGATGGTGGATGGGGGATTGGCTGGCTGGTAATGGTCGAGAGGAAGGATTGGATTGGTGGATTGGGCGAGGAAACTAAAGAAGAGAAAAAAAAAAAAAAAAAACAGAGGAAGACGGGGAACTGGCCAGGACGGGATAGGTAGGATTAGGACTAGAAAATGCAGCGAGTGACCAACTTAGCCAAGCAAGGGCCGGGGCGGTCGCCGTGTTGAGCGAACCCAGGTAGGTGGGTCCCGTTCTCTTATTTCCCCCTAGTGTTCCCTCACTCTGTTTTTGCCAATTTCGAGTCTCCGCTCTCTTCTCTCTCACTCTCTCACTTTCATTCTCACACACGCTCTTACGCCCACGCTCTGTGTCTTGTCTCTAAGTATGCCTTTGCACCTGCTTGGGGGCCTGCCGGGGCCTGAACCTGGACCGAGCTGGGATTTGGGGCCTGAGGTAGCCGGGTGGTGGACTGCTAAGTAAAGTACCTAGGTACCGAGGTAGGTAGGTAGGTAGGTACAAAGTGCCTAGTGTAGTGGGTGGCGAGCGTCCGTCTTTGGTAGAGGCCCTGCAACCTTGCGTATACTCACTCCAGTGAATCGGGCGACCCTTAAGCAGGTACGAGGCGGGAGAGGGTACGGGCTGGCCAGAAGGCCTGCAACTAATTTACCGACTAGGTAAGCCAAGGTCGGATGAAGTTGCTACACCTGCATGGAAACTACGTGGAACAAACAAGATAGTGCAGCAGGGCGACAGGCGAACAATTGAAAAAATGGGACAGTGCGGGCAGCTAGGCACGAGCACGCTCGGCCTCTCGGTCGAGAGACGAATAGGGCAGCGGACCTGGCAGTGAGAGGGAGAAACAGAGAGAGAGAGGATAAGAGAGAGAGAGAGAGAGAGAGACGGACGAGAGGTCAAGTCCAAGAGACACGGGCTCTCTCTCCATCCTCAAAGAGATCTGGGACCCGACTGCAGCTAGCAAAGCCGAGTTATAATCCTTTGTCCCGAGGATGACGAGACGAGAGACATGGGCCTAGGCACGGTACGGGATGTTAGCGGGTGGGGGCAGCAACCCAAAGGGGGCTGGACAGACGAGAGAGAGAGAGAGAGAGAGAGTGTGTGTGTGTGTGTGTGTGTGTATTCCGTATGTGTGTGTATGATGGATATGCTAAGGTATGTAGATTAGATAGGTACCTCAGACTTGCGCGCCGCGATACCTCGAGGCACAGTAACCTGAACCAGCTGAGCACACAGAATGTCGCCTCCGCCCTTTTGTTGCTTGGTTTCCCCTCTGGCTGTCGGGTGGGCTAGGCTGGGCCCAGCTAGCTGGACTGCGACCCTCAGAAGTGCAGGTTGCTTTGAAGTTAGCTTCAGTGAACCGAGCCGAGTCAGCACCCGGCCGACCGACAAAGTCAAGCTGCTGGCAACAGCAGCGATAGCAAACAATTCCAGCAACAACTGCAGGACAACAGAGTGCGCTGGGCAGGGTATCCGTAACTAGCCAAGTAGATATTATAGCGACGCAGAGGGTGTGTGGACTGAAATGGGAGGACGCAACAGGTGCGCCCCAAGGTGGCTTTGGTGCAACCATGCCATGGGATCAAGTGTCCCGAGCTAGGCACGGAGGATTCGACCTGGTTGGTTGGTTGATGGGTGGGTATGGATACAGCGTCGGCGTCGAGGATGGATCGATGGAGGCGGGCGGGAAGAGGGATGAATGAGTCCAGACCAGGTGCTGAGCCGTGTACACGAGCCAGTCTCAGGTTACTGACAGCGGGAAACTGAGAGAGAGTGTGGCTAAGGGGTACTGGCGTAAACGTACAGTTAAGCTACACGACACTAAACGAAACTAGGTAGGTAGGTAGTACGGGTGGGAGGGAAGGAAGGAAGGAAGGAGGAAAGGAAGGGAACGAGAGTGGTGGCTTGTGAGTGCGTGCGTGCGTGCGTGTCGGCCAGCTGAAGCCTGAGTGAGTGGATGCGTCGAGGTCGGGTCGGGTCCAGTGACTTTTGCAAGTTGCCGATGCCGATTCAATGCCAAGCCGAAGCGTGATGCCAATGGCGTGCGCGTGTGTGCATCTGTCGAGTGCGTTCGTCGACTGGACCGGGTTCAGGCAAGAAAGATTAATGCCTATGTAGGATTGCGCAACAAGTAAGTAGATAAAGAGGGAAAGAGGGAAGGAGGAAATATTCAAGTGTATCCGTACAGAAGTGGGGTATCCTCGCTAGTATCGGTACATATAATTTCATAGCCCCCACTACGCCTTGGACCCGTTCGTTGCACTTGTCCGTATCGCGACTTCTGCACAAGCTATGGTACTGTACATAAATACGTACATATACTATCTACTTTGAGTAAGTACGTACTGTATCCGTAGGTCGTACGAAATGGGAAGAAGGACAGCCTAAGTACGAGTGGGTTCTGGAACCTGAACATGCTCGCAGATGGATGGGGAAGGAGGGGTAGGGGGTGGAGAAACACCCCGGGAGCAGTTGCCAGGGTCTGTCAGGTACAAGTCGTACTCAAATGAAAAGGGAGAAGGGTGTTCCCGACACGGGGCAGACTAGGATGCAGCGTTGATTGATCTGGCGAAAGGAAAAGGGAAGAGGAAGAGGAGAAAAACAAGAAGGAACGAGCCAGCCTGCGCCGAGTGCGACTCTACTTGTACACACCATACCTGGTAGGTGCCTAGGTAGTAGTTGACCCCCGCCCCCCCCCCCCCCCCCCCCCTTCCCCTCGGTATTATAACATACCTGTACATTACCTCCACAGCCGCATGTTTCCGTCGCTGTGGTGTTGGTTGAAGAAATGGGCCATCATCATCATTATCAACAGCATCACCACCTACTGTACCGTCTCTCCATCGACTCCGATGCAGCGTCACATTCTTGCCACCGGCAATCCAAACAAGACAAAACTCTGCAACCGACAGAGCGAGAACGAGCTGTCTGTCTCGTCATCACTGTCCCTTTGTGCCTTCAAAGGGAGGGGATGAGGAGACAGCGAAAGCATGGTCAGGTTTACCTTCTCATCCCGAGCTAGAGTTGTTCTCTTA